CACCCGCCGACCCAAGGGGCGACGCCCTCGGCGGAGGGCGCGGCGCTTGGCCAGCCGGGGAGCGCGTCAGCTCGCACGAGCACCAGTAGCGACAAAGGCTCGCGCGCCAGCCTCGCTAGCAAGGACGAGAGTCGCGCTAGCGTTGTCAGCACCGCGGGCACGCGCAGCAGCGTCAGTAGCAAACACGACATGCGCGCCAGTGTCAGCAGCAACGAGGCACGTTCCAGCGTCAGCAGCAATGAAGCCCGATCCAGTGTCAGTAGTAATAATCCACGCGGTAGTGCTGTCAGCACCAATGACTCTCGCTCCAGCAATGCAAGTAACGACACACGCGCGAGTGCCGTAAGCAACAATATGAGATCTAGTATTGCAAGTAACGTCACATACGCTAGTGTCGCCAGCAGTAGCATGCGAACCAGCATGATGCAAAGCGACACGCGCGCCAGTGTCACCAGCAACAACTTAGGAGCCAGTATAGTAAATACCGATGCGCGCGCTAGTGTCGTAAGCAATGCTGCGCGCGCTAGTGTCGTAAGTAACGACTCACGCGCCAGTGTCGTAAGCAACGACTCGCGCGCTAGTATAGTTAGCGTTATCAATACACGAGCGAGCATTGTAAGCAATGACCCCCGCGCGAGTACTGTTAGTAACAACACGCGCGTTAGTACGGTTAACAATATTCACTCATCAAACAGTAATGACAGTAACGACGCGCGTTCAAGTATCATAAGCCACAACGCGCGAACCAGCACAGTAAGCAATGACTCGCGGGCCAGCGTGAGCAGCAACGACACACGCTCTAGTGTTAGCAGCAGCGACATACGATCAAGCATCCTCAATGGAATCCGCGCCAGCGTGAACAACGCCCCCACGGCCCCTCCGCTGGCTACGGCCACGAAGCCCCTCAACGCGGTCCAAACACTGGCAGAAGAGGACGAGGATGAGGACGACGACGACGACATGGACCTGAGACTGTAGGCCCGGTGCTTCCATGGATTCATTCCGCCGCTCACATCACGGAGTAAAAGTGTGATACAACGAAACGCCTTGCGAAAAACTTAACCCGTTTTCACGCAGAACAAACTTCTCGCAATCTTGGATTCCGCTGCCTCGTGGCGACATTCATGACATTTCCTCAAAAATCAACTTTGAGCGATTCATTACCTTTCTGGAGGCGTACATTTCATGTGTGTCAGCAAATTTTCAGAATGTAAAAGAACTTAAGAAAACTTGTACTCAACTGATTTTGGTAACATGGTGTCAGTTCAATCGAGATAATTAGGTAAGTAAGAATTACACAATGAGCCACAAGTACAAGTTTCTAATTCTAATTTTCTGTCATTGATCTGCATTGTGTCTCAATGCAAAACAAACAGTATTATAATACTCTGAATGTGGAGAGAGATAGGACAGAAAATAATACTTTTTTCAAACTGTTTACAAAGATATTTAGGAAAATGGGTTTAAAAATGTTCTCTATTCTTCATTGCAGTAAAATAATGATGTATTTATATAATTCTTTAAAATGTAAATAAATATTAACTAAGCAACAAAAAAAAATCTTGCAATAAAATAAATTTTTAAAGAAACATGTTAAACAATAAAAACAATATAAAAATGAGCTTATCTTCAATACGTTTTCAAACTAGTTCAATCTCTTTCGTCCAGTTATTACAATTGCATTCTTGTATTTCTAGACATTTATTCATTTCTTTAACAAATAGAAATCAAAACTTACCTGGACACCATGTTCCCTGTAGAAATCAGCAGTCCCTGAACTGCCATACAAACTGTAACCCATATCATGGAGCAGTCTGACACTAGGAAGCATCTCCATTTTGTGCTGAAAATAATCACATTATTAGTGCAAATTGTTGCAAGCTGCCAGGTCCAAGCTGCAAGGCTCCAGAGAAGTAACCTATTAAAATAAGAAAGAACTACACATGTACTTATGAACACAAGATGCATGTCATTTCCACACATAACCACACTATGAGCTGAATCAAGGACTGAAGATATGGCTTTTTTTTAAAAATACCCTATTCTTATTAAACCATCTGTCTCTATCAAAGAACTCAAATAGGTTGATACCCAACACAATACATTAAATGTCTAGAAGATTTTAACATCCATTTCACAAGGAAAATTGAATATCTATGCAAATATCACACAGTTTCCTTTGAATTTCTGAGAAACATAACTACACTTTTGCCAAGTCAACAAGACAGAGACTTCAAAACATTTAATACCGTCGCCATGAAACAGTTAAAGCAATGCTTTTCATTACTTTAATACGACAGAAAACATTGTTGAATACTCATTTTGAATATTTTAATTTGCATAATGACTTAACACTCACTTCTGAAATACTGACAATGACAAACCTGTGTTTACTTAGAATCATTCATTTCATTTTTATCACATTTTCTGAACTTCTAGAAATATGGTAATTTCATAAAACTTCCTGAACATTACAAAAGCAATCTCTGTGGAAGGGTGATTTTGAGAGAAAAAAATTCAAACTGGCTTATATAAATAATCCAGGTTCTTTTTAAATTCATAAATTTTGGTTACTCTCTTTATGAAGCAGTGTAGTATTACCATTTTCATTTATCTATATTACCACTGACATTTTAGAGAATAAGAAAAGGGAAAGTGAAAACTTACTTTGAAAGAGCCAATTGACAGGACTATGTTCTTTCGTGGTATTTCAAATCCAGTTGACATCATTGCCTTCAGATAAGCTTCATATCTGTTCTCTCCAAAGCAAGCAACTTCACCTGTCGAAGCCATTTCCACTCCAAGCATTACATCAGCTCCTAGGAATGAAATTAAGTTTACTATAAAGAGAGTACTTATTGCTGAAAATGGTTTTCAGAAAATGCAACACACCATTTTCTAGTAAATTATTGCCAAGATGAGATAAAATTTAAAACATCAGCTCCTTCATCCAATGTCCAAAATTGAGCATCTAATTCAGCATTATAAATATTGTTTGATAAATAATGATGGACAATTCATTATAAATTCAAATTAGTTTAGTGTTCCTATGGTAGTAAGAATCGGCTAATATCTTAAGCAATGCTGACTTAACCATTGTGGGACACCCAGAGCTGTCTTTGTGCAGAAGTCCTTATAAAATGTTTCACTATTATTCTATCCTCATTTCTGCTAAGTATAGCAAAAAAATACATTGAAGCAACAAAACAATTTTTATTTATTGATTACATAAATGAATGTGACTTTCTGTATTTTATACTCAATCCTTCTGATTAATATGAATTAATAGAAATATTTATTTTCAAAATACAAGTTTGGAATTTTTCCATTACAGAGAGTATACCGAGGATAAAATAACTCGCTTCAATGATTAAGTCCCATGTTTTTATTTTCAGTTATATTTACATCTAAACATTTATTGTCATAAATTATTAGTAGATCTTTCTTTGTGATTTGCTCACATTCATTTTAAGCTTCTCAAAGAGGCATTTTTGTTTCTCCTGAGTAGCTCCAAATGTCAATGTGTGTTTTTTACATGTTTGAACTAGTGACATTCAAAGAATTAACTTTCATTGGCAGAAAGATTCACAAGACAGTATTCAATGACAGCATTGAATTCAGTACACAATCCAATATGGATGTATTGTACGATGAAGGAGCAGGAAGAAATTGATTACTGATACTGTTTCAAGGTTTTTGGAAAAACACAATTCTGTCTTTAACTTTAGTCAAAATAAATAAATAATAGTAATAATAAAAAATAAAGAAAATAAAAAAATTAATATTTCATGAAATTATGTACTGATGAGTTTTTACATAATATTAATTATATGCTTGAAGTATATACTCCCCTCCCTCCACTAGTCATTAATTAATAAATTATTCACATAAATCTATACTCTTTCATAAAGAAAGAAGGAAATTGCGATACAGTGTGATAATCTCTGAATGTACTGAAAGAAAAGCGATGAAACTTATGTGCTAGCTAACTTTGAAGGGCAGAAGTGCTGTAGGCTAGAATTTACAACCATAAACCTTATTATATCCATAAAATAATTCCTTTTCTGGACATTTTTTTGTGTAGTATTGCATCACAAATTCAAGACTGCCTACATGTACAATAGTTTGGCTGCACGCCACAACAGAGGGACATCTGAGGTCTACAATTGAGTTCATCAATTAACAGAATTGTGTATATCCGTAGAATAGCTGAGGTCTTTGTTGAACATCAATTGTTTAATGCGCAATGTTTATATTTAAGAATAATTCTGACTATTTTCATTCATTCTATTTATAAAAGTAATTTGGATATGGATTTTAATTGCATTTAGGCATCAATGTATTAGTGTACATGAGAGAGGTATACTTACTCGTATATGAAATGTTTGGATAACGACATTTTGCACTTGGATGATTGATATTGCCATAAAAAGGCATGAATGCAGATAAGTGTTCTACATGAAATAGTTATTGCTTTAGTTGTAGTATATTAAGTATGATTATTACGTATTTGCGAACGGGACAGTAGGTCAGGATGGGTGGGGGTGAGTGAAAGTGAAGCTTATTATGAATGATTATCGTGCTGTGTAGGATGAAACTAACAGTTGGAAGCATTTTTGTAGGGGAGTGCGTTATTGTAGTGGAGAAAGCATACCCTCGGCTGATGAAGGAATTGATGAAAGTTCACCCAGAAGAAGTAGAATTGAAGTAAAATAATCGTGACAAATGAGAAGAATTGAATGTGTGTCAACACTGATTCTCGAGGTTGTTGAAAATAGAGCAAAAGAGCTTTTAGATAACAAAAAAAGCTTTGGACAAGCTGGGATTCACAGTGTGATCTCAGATTTTTGGAGAAATTATAATTGTCAAAGTACCTTTCCATCAGCCATTATTTATCAAGGATCCTAAAACACAGGTTCAAAATCAATTAAAAGCCCTTTATTTTATATTTATATTTTCATTGTCTTGGTGTAGGGTCAAAGATTAATTTCAAACTTTTCTTTATAAATATGCTAGATGATAAAAAATGAAAAGTAATATGTTTTACATTGTGGCAATCGACTAAAAATATGGGAATAATACATAAAATTCCACAAAAATAACAAGAGTACATGTATTTTATTTTTTGGGGTTAGAATTTTTAAAAACAATTTTTAATTATAAAGTGAGTGGACCTTGGAAGTGGTAACATCAATTTTAAAAAATATAAACATTTTAAGTGAGAAAGTGAGTGAGGAAGACTGTATTTTCAAGTGGGAGCAAGGCAGAGAGAGGTTGAGTAAGATGGGAGTGGGGCTACAATAGAATAGATACAAGCAGGTACCACGGCAGGGTAGAAATAGATGAAATACCTCTTCCTGTCTAAAATTATTGTGACTATTCCACTTGTGATGTTAAAACCAATCGTGTTTAATTATACATATAAAATGCCTCAATCTGGGTGGTGTATCTCCAAAAAGTTTATCGCTTTTTTAATCAGATTTTTCTTACCGGTTCTACCTACTGGCCAATCATTAACTGTGACTCTTCTATCTTAGGAGGCAGTCTACATCGATCGCTCTGACGATGTCCAATAAACAGCCTATGTACCATAACATAACCTCTAGTTTTAATACACGGTTTCAGTTATTCTTAATATTTGGTGCATTTTGGAACTCTGTTGAACATACTTTCACTTAATCACATAAATCCCCTCCTCGCATCGTGAATCAGGACTTTATTGACAACTTTGAACGCATTTATGGTATTACCTATGATAAATGTACCAGCAGCAGGGTACTTATGCAAGTTAATCAATAAAATCCATGAGTACTGAAAGAAGATTTCATTCTGTTGTTATTTTCATTTCCACCCATTATACCTGTTCAAGAATTACTTCTTAAAGTAAACAAATTACCAGTGTAATAGTTTAAGAAATGTTTTGTTTGTTTTTTTGTCAGCAGACCTGAGGTATGCAGCATATCAATAATTTTCAGCTATTTCAATTAAATAAATAGCTGTTGTTTACCTGCTAATCGGGAAAACGAGAACTGTGGAACCTTGACTCCAACTCGACCACATCCAGCCAAAACATCTACAGGTTCCACACGTTCCCCCATAATTACACGTGTGGCAATGGCAACAAAATCATAATCCAAAGTCTTAGAGACAAAAGGAAATGATCGAGATACACGCACATTGCATTCTATTACCTTCAACTCATTATCCTGGAACAAAATAATTAATGAAATACAAATCAAAATCATATTAGTAACTATAGTCTACATAATAATTAAGAATTTTAAAATTTATTGACCAATTAATAAACCTGTATTTATGAGTCATTGAAATCGCTGATCAAGATCATTAACAACTGTTTCCTAAATTGAATTATCAAAATTATTATTGAAATTTTGTATACAGAATCATAAATCTTACTTTTGCAATGAGCTGCATATTGAATGGCCCAGTCACTTCTAGTGATCCAGCAACAGCTCTTGCTATGCTCTTGATTTTTGCTAAGGTCTGAGAGTTAATATCTTGTGGAGGTGTTACTAGAGTTGCATCACCTGAATGAACACCAGCATTCTCCACATGTTCCGATACAGCTAGACATACTATTACACCATCATCTGCAACTGCATCTACATCTATTTCCTAAAAAACATAGTATGTAATTGAGTCTTCTACAATGCTCGGCACAATATAAGAAATAAAAAATCTTCGAGTAGGATGAAATGCATACTTTTGCTTCCAGAAGAAACTTTGATATAACTACAGGGTGCTCCTTGCTAACATCAGAGGCACAACGAAGGTAGGCTTCAAGATCTTGAGGAGAATGTGCAACATTCATTGCAGCTCCACTCAGAACATACGATGGTCGCACAAGACAAGGATATCCTACTTCTCCACAAAATTCTTTTGCTGACTCCAAATTTGTAAGTTCTTTCCATCTAAACAAAGAATGTAGAGGCATACAATGCATTAGGTTTCGTATTTCTCAACTACTTATTTTAGCTCTCATATACGAGGTTTACTGCAAAAATTATGACACTTTTTTTTTTCACATTTCATGTACTCATCACTTACTATTTTAATTACGTTATTGTATGTAAGTTAGTATGATTCTTAATTTTGATGAAAATCTGACCTACAACTATACTCAATCATTCACAAGCAATACACTTATTACTCAGTGGGTATGTGTGTTTTGCAAAAGATGGAAATGAAAAAATTCACATAGATAGAAGTATTCATTCAATTTCCAACCACAGAAAAGCGTGATAAAAACATTTTTTTGGCAGGAACGTCCCAAACTTCAAACTATCTCCAACTTTACCAGTGAAACAGAGAAATGGAGACTTTCAAGTTCGCATTTCCCAACTTATCACATGGAAATTATAAAAAAAAAATGATGCAAATTTTAAGTATATTCTGTTAAAGAAATGATGATGAATTGGAGCTTGAACAAGAGTGGGACAGAAAGAAAATCTGGTAACATAGAAGGGAATGGTCTTAGGTGGCATCAAAACACAAATGCAAATTCAGCACTCACAAACTTCCTACAACCTAAGGTCCTAAAAGTCCAAAGATGAAGCCGTATGGGAGGACCAAAAAGAAAGAAGCATGATATACATGAACATGACGAGGGTTAGTGACAAAAACCATTACTACAATGATTTTAAGGTACAAGAAAATAGTAATTGATGAGAATGATAGGTTCTGGTTAAACATTTTTTAAATGCTCATTTTAAATTCTCAATTCTTTTTTTCTTCTTCAAAATTCACACATTTTCTTACCACTGAGTGTGACCTTCCAATTGTCTATTCAAAAATTGGTAACCTGACTCATTATTCTGGAAAACATTGTATGTTGGAGATATGAATATGTTGGAAAACCTTTTATTAACTCTTGTTATTACCATGTTATTAACAGAAGAATGAAAAAAAACTTATCAGCTTGCAGTAGCAGTAGTCCCTAATGTAAATAACAGAAGCAAACAACTTGATAATTAATCCATATGCTAAGTCTTAGGGAATAAATAAATTTATGAACATCTCACCTAGGTTGTGATATGCCTACACGATCCAGCATTCGAGAGAATTTGAATCGGTTCTCGGCACCATCTATTGAATCAGGAGATGTGCCAAGAACACGACACCCTTGCCTATGCAAATCAAGGGCAATATTATTTGGTAATTGTCCTCCCATACTGACTACAAGACCTTCAGGCATTTCCAGAGAATACACATCCAGTACACGTTCAAGAGATAATTCTTCCAAATATAAACGATCACTTGCATCAAAATCTGTGCTCACTGTCTCCGGGTTATAATTCTGCATCACAGTTTTGTAGCCCAAACGACGTAGTTCTGCTAAACAGCCAACTGCACACCAGTCAAATTCCACAGAACTACCAATACGATACACTCCAGAGCCTAGAAAAGGTGACAAATTAATGAAAAAAATAATAAAAACACATCTAATTCATTGTGTATAGATGGTTAAACTCGCATGACTAAACAACCATATCCACAAACAATTTCAGAACATTTCTACAAATACCAATCATTTATGAAAATATACAATTAGAGGGTCAAATATTCATCCTTTACAAATAATGCATTACTACTTACCCAACACCATCACATGGCCTCCAGGAAATGCGACATCATGGTGGGAGCCATTGTATGTGAGATAGAGATAATTAGTAGATGCGGGCCACTCAGCAGCCACTGTATCAATCTGTTTTACCCAAGGAGTTATTCCTGCAAATTGCGTAATAGCAGCTGTAAGCCCTTTTGTAATGGAAGGTAAAACAGACTATAATCTTTAAAATCTTCCAGTGATAGAAAGGGATAAATACAACAAACATTTTGTCAATAAGCAATTCTGTATAAGAATAATTTCGAGAAATCAATTTCATGAAAGCTATTTTACCCAGAGTAGATGTCTCCAGTTTTTGCACTTGTTTTCACATTGTACTATATTGTTTCAATAATCTTATTAACTACAAAAAAGTGTGAATCAGCGACTACAAAATATATTTGGGAGGGCAATTTCAGTCTCTCCATGCACACACTATTCAACAAAAAAGTAAACAATAATTTAACTATTTTTTTCCGCTTTTAAAAAACCAAATAACTATAACAATTTCCAAATATTTCAATTCACCTTGTTCAAGACGGCGTGAACGAACCGAGAGTTCTGTGCTGGTGACGCATCCAGCAACTTGTTGATCGGAGAATCCTAATTCCTTGGCTTTACGAAGCAGGGATGGAGTCAAGTCAGTCATTGATCCTACAGCTTCCAACTCAGCTTGGGTGTCAATTATATTTTTCATTTTCCAGAGAAACCAATGATCAATACTAGTTTGCTGGTAGAGTCTGTCCACTGTATAACCACTACGCAAAGCTGCAGCAATTACAAATATCTGCAAAATGATTTTGGATGAACAAAAATGACACAGATTAGTGCATATCACTTATAAGTGTACTAAAGACAATGCTAATTCATGACAAGCCAAACTTTCAGTTTATAAAAGTTCAATTGAAATACTAATTAAACAAATATATAAAAAAACAACAAGAAAACAATAAAAGTACATGTAATGTCATAATTTTCATAATAAAGGTCATATTCCAATTAAATAAAATGTTGCCTACATTTTACAACCTAGTGCAGGAATGACTAAACAATGTGACAAAATAGAATGTTTTACCTATTCAAAAATTATGGATACCTAAAAATACAAGAGAGTATACAGTTCACAGACAATAAAAATGTAAGGAAAAAATTTAAAAAATCCATATTCGATTCATTATTTAAAAATCTTTGCGACCTTTAACACTTAAAGAGAACAGTAGTTTACATTCTCATTAACAACATTCTATAAAAAATTATATTTACTTTTACATTGCCAGAATTTATTGCAAAAGATTATTCTTACATCCATGACATTTTTATTACATTTTCAATTCATCACCATCTTACTATCTTTCAGTTCATATGGAACTCTAATAATCACAAAATTGAATGAATTCTTCAATATTCTTTCACACTATGGTAATGACTTTACGAGTGATTTGTGAGATTTCCACTGATTTCAATAGTATTGGAGTAACGAACAAATTAAAGTCAAAGGGTGCTCGTTTTCATTTTAACACTCCTTGCTACATTTCCTAATCAAAAGTAAATATGGGTAATTTACCTACCCTGCGGTCTGTGGGAGATTCCAACTCCTCATCTGAAAGTGGATGAGCCTGAGGATCAAAGCCAGATGCTCTTTCATCTGCCATTCGAAGTGCTTTCTGTAATGCTTCTTCAAAACGGCGACCAACTGCCATTACTTCTCCAACACTCTTCATTGAGCTTCCAATCTAAAAAGGAAATGGAATGAAACCCTACTTGATTTTTTTCAAATATCCATGCAAACTCAGGGAAGATTAAAAATTAATACATTGCAGAAATCTATTCATAATCTACAAATATAAGGAAGGAAATCATAACAAACTATACTATCTTTGGTATATCCTACTGTGCAAGTTATTAAAAGATTCTGAAAGAATAATCTTTTTGTAGAATTAAAATATCCAAAGGAATTCAGTACATAAATAACAGCATTCTTCAAAATAGATGGTGAAGTTTGTTACAAATTCAAGACATCAATACATTTCAAACAATCAAAAACTATGAACAATAAAGGAAAAAACCATGCAATTTTGATGTTTTTTTTTTATGCAAAAGTTATTTGAACATGCTTAGTATAATTTAACAAATGTTAATAAGATGTTTAAATAAATGAATAACTTGAATTGATGTATAAACTTTAAAATTATTAGTTACAGAGCCACACACTAATAGCAACATCAATAAATGAATGCAAGACTTCCAGTTTAAGCAAAAGAGTAGCAACCAGACAATAATAATCACAGTAATTTCACACAAATAATTTTAAAACCTACTGGTCTTATGCACCAGCAATCAGATGACCAGCTCCAAACTGCCCTGAGGATAAAAAATTGTCATTTTGTGAACTGTTATCTAGTAGTTTCATAGTTCTGCAATTAAGAATGGTTTTGTAAAAAGTTATACCTCCAAAACTCAATGATTTAAATGCTAACAGGACAACATTTTACAATTGTTATCCACTAAGAATAGTCACTCAGCCTTTTAAGAACATTTCATTTAAATAAAATATGAAAGCTATTAAACAAATTGCAGTGGAATCTTAATTATTTGACATTTTAAAAACACTTCAAACTTCAATTTTTAAGCTTAACAATTAAAAAATATATGTATATTTGACCTCCAACAACGCATTTCATAATGTTTTAATATATTCATACTTCAAAACAGAACATTTCAAATACAATACATGCAACTGGAATTGTCTTTTTACAAAGCAATGTAATTTTATGATCATTGTACATGTGCCAAAAATAGTCAAACTCTCCCTGACACTCATACACACACACTCCTTAGTAACTGTGTTCTTGGAATCATAGATGAACATTTGATGTCAAGGATGACAAATTGTGAAGCAGAATTACAACCACTCATGAGGTTGTTCATGTTTCAAATATCACATGTATATCCCTATTCACAAATCATTGTCTTATCACATTGTGAGATTTGGGTTGGGGATAAGCGCCAATTTAACTCTCCCCCTCCGGAATCAAACACTGGCTGCATGGTACTACACTTCACTTGAGCAGTGACTCCTTGTACGTAACATTGTATACAACAAATGTATTTTATATTTCAAATAAAACTCTTGTGTGTGGTGAAAACTAGAGCGCATTTGCTTTTGTAGAGCAGAACATTATTTCAGTTGCTCCGAATCCATGTTAAGATCTGATTGATGACATTTTGTGCTTGGAAAATGCTTGTGAAGTGCAATTTAAACACTAGTTATGAGAAAACGCAGTACATGAAAATCTAGGAAATGATGTGTATTGTCAACAATGACAAATCTAAGAATAAATTGTGTTCCTTGAGGAAAGAGGGGGCAGAGGTGTAATTATGTTAATTGTTTTCTTTGAAAAATATAATCCATACTAAATACACATTATTACTATTCCTTAATTTTGAAACATTAACAAACAAAAATCTATTTACCAAGACAAGCCCATCTCTATAAGTGTAAGAGGACATAGACCTCCACCCTAGGTTAATGGAATGTGCAATGTTTGCTCTTAAGTTTATTTAGATAACATTAACTGAGTAGTTACACAACAACTTACTTTAGTAGACACTCGTTGGAATTTTGCCAAATCCCAACGGGGCACTTTTACAACACAATAATCCAAACTAGGCTCAAAGCAGGCAGTAGTAGCCCAAGTGGCTGCATTGCGCAATGAAGGCAGTGACATCCCTAATGCCAATTTGGCAGCCACATAGGCCAATGGATAACCTGTGGCTTTGGATGCTAATGCTGATGATCTAGAGAGTCTGGCATTCACCTAAAAACAAGACAGATTATCAATTCAGAAATAAATGAAACCAAATCCAAATAAAAAACGTTATTCAAAACTTAAGTACACTGATTGACTTTCAATAAGCTAAGCAAACGAAAGCTACTTTTTACTACACAATCCAAAACTATAAAATAACTTTTCCTCCATCAGTGCATCATCTTGGAACACATCACTAGACTTAAAATGCAAATGTTGATGAACAAAGAAAAGAAATGTAAGTGGTTTATTATTATAAATTATTATACTAATTGTCAACATATAAACAATATTAATTAGGTTAACTTGCATAATATAGAAAAAATATTTATTTACACAAATTCAGACATACTCTGTTCCTCTGCAATCTGCAGATTACAAATAGTAAATACGTTACCATCAGTGAAGCTTTATTCCTGCCCATTTCCTATTAAGCATCAACAAAATCCAATTCCTTTTGAAAATCAATTCTTCTCCTAAAATTGTTTCATGTTTACAGTGTATTGCATCCTCATTACCATTAACCCAAAGATTCTAATTTTTGTTCCTTTGCAAATATTACAACTAAAATTTGGTTGTCTTCAGAATCAAACAAAGAATAAATCACATTCCTGAATAGAATTCCGAAGTAATACTTAATTAATTGAAAATATATTTCTATCAGAATACACATTCAACATTGGAAAATGCAAATATTTTAATATATTACCTCAATAATGTAGAACTCTCGTGATGTTGGATTAAGAGCATATTGTATGTTGCATTCTCCCACAACTCCTAAATGTCGCACTACTCGTAATGCAGTTGTCCTAAGTAAGTTATATTCTGTATTGGTTAGAGTTTGTGATGGAGCTACCACAATTGATTCACCAGTGTGAATACCCAAAGGATCCACATTTTCCATGTTGCAAACCTTAAAGGAAGAACAATTTACACAATTATATGAGCACCTTCTTTGACACAAAGAGATTTCTACCATTTTGTTTACTTTGTGAACCAATGTAAACTATAAGAACTGAGATCCAAAGTTTACACTTTAGCATACTTGTGTAGTACCATATATCAATTAACTTCTAAAAAATAGAATATTTTAAATAATCATTAAAAGGTGTCATCACTTAATGGGTATCGTGTGCTGTCAAAAGAAGAATACATATATAGAAAAAGCATCACTCACTGTAACACAATTATCATATGCATCACGGACAACTTCATACTCCACTTCTTTCCAACCAGCTAGAGATTTGTCAATAATGAGTTGGCTGGAGTGGGCTAGAGCTTGTGTAGCCAGGGATCTCAGCTCATCAGGGTCATGAGCAAAACCTGAGCCCAAACCTCCAAGAGCAAAGGCAGCCCGAGCCATGACAGGATACTGCAACTTCTCTGCTGCTTCCAGTGCCTGTTATATTTGAAAAAATGGCTTTATATTTAAATGTTCTCATTTTCACATACCTTTGAATGGAACAATTGGAATAGTAGACAAGTATGATTCTTTTATTATATTCCATTTACCATTTTCAAAAATACTGAAAAATTACAAAATGAAACTTTTAGGATCTTTATTTCACTAACAATCATTGCAAATAACTATTTAGTATGAGACAAGCCAGAAACCCCACGTTTAATTTGAATGGGGAAAACAGCATGAAGTGTGTGTAAAACAATGCAATTATATGCAGGCTTGGATACCAAAGAATATACAGTGTTAGGACAACCAATAAACAAAGTGTACGATTGGTGTTCGAATGCTGTTCATTTGGGGAGGCATAGCCTCGGAAACATTTCATGCGAGAGGTATGGAGATGGCATTGAAAGCTGTGATTCCGTGGGAAGAAAAAAATAATTACTCTCTCAAAAGCAATTGAGCTGAACACACAAGCAATCAGGGAGGTGCAAAAATATTTTCAGCATAGACCGGAGTATTAGTTAAATGATAGTGAGGCAGGTAACTTATGATTAGTTTTGATAGCTGGGTATTGTGCAGAGTAAGAAGTTGGTGTTATTTGCATTTAATTATAATTGTAATTTTTGTTAATTTAATTTTGATTTGAATTCATATAGACTCCATATTTCATAATGGATTTATATTATCTCCTTAGATGGGGAGGAACTTTTAATAAGTCATCTCAAGTTAGATAGTCACACGTATGTGTTTCATCCAAAGCACAGACAGGGCAAGCCATGTCTGTGAATTCATTTAATAGAAATTATTGAATCTTATAAGGTATCAAATAGTCGAGGATATTCTGGAGACATTTGTAATCCACTCTAGGAGGCAACAGCGCGATAATAAGGGTATCGAGGACATCCCATGGACAACCAGCCAAAGACCTTCGAAAAGAACATCTGATGAATCGTCACAGTAAGCTTACTATCTTTATTCAAAACCATATGGTACTTTAATGTTAGTACAGAGAAAAAGTTAATCATTTCATTCATGAGCTCAATATACTTTTGTAAGAATGTCAGAGTAAATGTTAAATGTTATTATCGAGAAAATAAAGGCTGGTAATTATTGAATTGATGCAACTACTATAAATTAAGTTTTAATCAACAGAACTTCCAAGAATCTTAATTCTGTATAGAATTACACATCCACATACAGCAGGTAGGGTGAGAAATGTTGTATGTCGAAACCCTTGATTAAATTTAAAAGTGAAATTAATATGATAATTTTGTAACATTGATAGAATTCATGCACATAGCAAGGAAACGAAAGAAATAATGTTGACAATAGCAGAGGAAATAATCCCTTCATAATATCCAAAAGATTGTATTTAAATAGTATCAAGATTTATTAATATTAACATCAGTAGAAGAAGTAGGCAATTCACAAATCAGTTGCCCAACGTGGGGGAAACAAAAGTAAGTTTGGAGAAGCAGGAATATTACAATTACAATAGTTTTAAGCTGATAATTTGGTTGGCTTGATGACTAGATTCATCTCTGGTTACAAAAAGTACAAAAATTATACACCTAAACAAACCTGTAAATTGAAACTTATAAATCACACTAACCTCCTGTACAGAATACACTGCAGCACTTGGTGCAACTTGTTCACCAATTTCAGCCATACGATCTGCAAATCTCTTTCGATCCTCAGTGTCCACTATGCTGTCAATTGGTGTTCCTAACACACGAACACCATACTTTTCAAGGACACCTGCTTTGTGCAAGTGCACACCACAATTTAATGCAGTTTGACCACCAAATGCCAACAACACACCATCTGGGTGTTCTGATCGGATGACCTACAAATAATTTATTATAGATTAGTCCACCTATTGAACACAAACCAATAAAGCTGTAAATACAATTTTATAATTTAATTTCTATGTTGTTCTTTTTCTCCTTAAATACATGGTTAATTACTTTACCAATACTGATGCAAGTCAGAACATTAATGAATTCATTAACCATTTTTTTGTTCATTAATCAAATTCTTTCAATAAAAAGTAATAAAAAATTAATGCCAATAAGAGCTGACTCACCTGCTCAACATATTCTGGTGTCACAGGTAAGAAGTATACTTTGTCAGCAAGACCTCTTGATGTTTGTACAGTGGCAATATTGGGATTCACCAAGACTGTAGTTATACCTTCCTCTTTCAGAGCCTTTATTGCCTAATAACCAGAATCAGAAGAAAGTGAATGCAAGCCAAATTCAGGAAATTTGTATAAACATAGGAAATAAATATTTTTTTATTAATATTACTTCAGAAAATTAAAATTAGGACTACAAAACACAAGAAATTTACAGTTTAATGTTCTAATATCAACTTATATTTTCATGAATTTGAGTGAATACCTGTGATCCAGAATAGTCAAATTCACCAGCCTGGCCAATCGAGAGTCCTCCAGAACCAAGAACCAACACTTTTTTCACAGGCATGTCAGCTGGTGGATTGATTGCCGGCACACCAGCTAACAGGTGCTTTTGTAAACGCACAAGCATACTACCACGCTTTTCAGGTTTCTCACGAACTGTCTCCAGAAACACATCAAAAAGTGATTCCAAATCAGCTGGCCCAGGGTTGTGTTCGGGATGAAACTGTACACTGGAAAACACATGAAAATGCCTCTAGTTATGTGAAAAAGAAAAACTTTGAAATTAATAGTTTTCTAATGCACAACACACACCATATGAAAGTAGTATCCAACAGATATGGTGGATTTGTATTAAATTTGTTTTTTCTATGTAGCAAAATTTCAAGTTACATATTTTTTGTAATATATGAAAATATCAAGTGTAATAAAAAAATCAGTTTCAAATACAATATGGATGTACAAAATTTAAATACTCATTTACGCTATTTTTAATCATTTAGAAAACACGCGCGAGGAAAGCAAACAAACAAGTTACAAATTCCCATAATATCAAAGAAGACCAATTTCAAAGTTAAAATTACCATTATATCTTTAATTTCTTTCCTTCATCTTTTTCAAGTTTGTATATTCCACATTTACCTGAAGAAAGGACGAGATTCGTGAACTAATCCTTCATTGCTGAGGTCATTGGCATTTGTGAAGAGTGGAATCCAGCCTTCCGGCAATGCTTCCGCATCTACTGCAAATCCATGGTTTTGTGATGTGAGGAAGCAACGTGATGAGTCTCTTAATTGACAAGGCTGGTTGTGGCCACGGTTGCCATATCTGTAAAAAATTAAAAATTTTGAAACATTTCATTAAAAAAAAGTTGAATGAATGCACAACTCCACAAGAATACAAAAAAGTTAGAATGAATTCACATTATTTAAATGTTTACCCAGAGTAAATCGGGTGGGGGGCGGAGCGGGGCGAAGCGGGGCGGAGCGGGGCGGAGCGGGGCGGCGGGGCGGGGCGGGGCGGGGCGGGGCGGGCGGGCGGGTGACGGAGGGGTGATGGGGCAGGGGTTGGTGGCTGAGGGTCGGCGTGACACCTACTTCATCTTGTAGGTGCGGCAGCCGGCGGCGAGCGCGAGCAGCTGGTGGCCGAGGCAAATGCCGAAGATAGGGCGGTCGCGCGCGGGGGGCCGCGCCAGCAGCGCGCGCAGGCGGCGCACGGCCGCGTCGCACAGCGCGGGGTCGCCGGGGCCGTTGCTGAGGAAGAGCCCGTCGAAGGCCAGCGCCTCGTCGTCCAGCGCTGCGTCCCACGGCACCCGCTCCACGCACGCGCCGCGCGCCAGCAGGCACCGCAGCTGGTTCGTCTTCAGCCCGCAGTCCAGCGCCAGGATGCGCGGCGAGCCGCCCGGGTTGTACGTTACTGGCGCCTGTGGGCCAACAACCGTGCAGCATTCACACACTGCGACACAACGAGAGTGGGAAGGGACGGGGGATGGGGTCTACGTATCTTCCAAAATATGTTTTCGTGAAATAAAGACACTTTAAAATGTGATTTTCTCAGAAATGGCTCCAAATTTTTGCTTCACATTTTTTTATGGAATCACCTATTGCACTTAATAACAAGACAAAGGTTATTTTGATGTAAATTTTCAATTACAAGTTACACAAACGCACGTTTAAGCAGTATTATACTCGTATTCAGTTACAAATAATGCGAGAAACTACTTGCTTATGTAGCACTACTTTCCAATGTGGTTAGATTGGAGAGGACACCCGATACTCTGTACTTTATCTATTGGATCGTCCTCTCCTTCCTTGGCATAGTTTGGGTGCGGTGTCGCAGGGGAGTTGCGGTCAGCAGCGTTAAGACGGCTCCACACCTGTAGCGTTCGGCGTATCCCGAGCAACCGCTCGCCGAATCTCGAGTAGCGTGGACATGCTGCTCACTATCCGGCAGGCATGAAAGCGTTCAAAAATCACCATTTACAAGGAAACATTGGAAAATGATAAATAGTAATTAAAATTAATTAATATTTCTTTTAACTCTAAAATTTACCTCAGCGCTTGAGTGGAAGGGCATGATATATTATTTTAAATGTTGGTGGCACGTGAATACCACACATTTTCACTCTTCGTTTATCAGATTATTTTTCAGTTTTATTACTGAAAATTATTATTCGTGGCACACAGTTTCGTTATGATGACTACGTATTTCCTTTATTTGCGACGCTGCCTCTAAGAAGTTATACAGTGCCTCTTGAATACTGAACGGGCAGTGAAAGCGCTATTGTTTTCATTCTTCGTTTTTGTGTAATCGTCAACATTGAGTAGGACCGTTTAGTATACCATGTGTAGAGGTACAGAGAGCTCTGCCCTCGCAAAGGATCAGGGTCTGTTCTCCAAGGTTGGATGGGATTCCTCGTGAACCAAGGCTGTGGGCATCAATGAGAGAATTACAAAAATCTTTACTGATATCATCTCTCTTTCTCGTAACGATTTTTAACACTTCCTGGCCTAGAGCCCAAGTTCAACACTTCTCGCTTGATATCCTGCCAATGCTTGCAGAGAAAGATAAAATGAGTTGTTCAGGCAGCCTTCGAATTGTTCAGGTTTGCAAGTATGTTTCCAACTCGATCGAGATCGAAGGGAGGAGAAAAACGGAAAATAATGGTCAAAATAAGGCAAAATATTAAAAATTAGATAAAAATGAAAAAGACAAAAAAGGGCAAATTGAAAAATTCTGAAGCCTTCAAACAGTAGTAATAATAATAATAATAATAATAATAATAATAATAATAATAATAATAATAATAATAATAAATATAAAAGCTATTTTGCCTAACTTCCAGGCTAAATATTGGAACAGTTATTAAAATTAAACAATACCAAAGCGAAGATACGAACTAAAAATGAGTATTCATTTTGAAAAACACTGGTATCAGACAAGGAAATTCCCTTTCGGCGCTCCTTCGCTATGTAATAGATATAACACTGAGAAAACTAATCATGGCAATACATCCAATAGGATAAAACTTATGTGCGTATTAAGTCAGGCTATTATTGTATGATGTATGAATTCTGACAAGATCGATGCAGGCGTTTGACTGCTTTCCATCAGCTGAATGTTCTAAGAAAGTGGACCTAATTTTAAATGCTTCTAAAACAAGTGCATGAAATCATCCGGACGAAAATCTGAAAAATGAACATTTGTTCAATATAATCTTTAAATCTAAAATCTGCTCTCATATAAAAACCTTGGCACAACAGTGAACATTAATAACTCTACGAAGAAGAAAAAAAAGCGGGGAATACTGCAGAAAAAAGGGTATTTCATGCACGGAAACCTTTTTGCCACACTCGATCAAGGTACTCAAAACGGAATGTATACACTATTACATCTACATATAAATGAACAATACCATTATAAAACACGTAACGTAGAAACGTGCTGAAGCAACACCTCTCCTGGATAGACGTGCTTTAGGGCTTAGTGATAAAATCAGAAGAGTGAAAACAAACAATGAAAGTAATGTACTGACAAAATACAGGATAGTGTCGGAGACATTAAAACTAGGAGATCCGCCTGGATTGGACACCAAGAAATGATGCACCCAGATAGGATTACTAAGAAAATAACAGAATGGAAACCAATAGCAACAAGGTGTAAAGACAGAGCAAATATGAAATATAAAGACAATATTATAGATGGCCCATGAGTAATGAAAATCAAATATTGGAAGATGGCTCAAGGCAAAAAGGAATGGTGGTAGAATGTTGAGAAGGTCAAGACTCGCCTAGAGTTACAGAGTCTGGAAAAGAATATAGTAAAAAGACCCATATATTAGACTCATACACAATAAGAAATCGAATTTTGCTTATTGTCCACGTTTCTTTTAAACAGATAAATCTTGAATTATTTAGTCATCATTAGAGCTGGAAAGTTCATGAAAGATTTTAGCCGTGAAACAAGCATACAAAGAGGCCATAAAAATGTTGAAATATGCAACAGGAAGTGGTAAGATGTGTAGCATTTGGTCACGAAAACGTATATTACAATATTACACATTTCGTCACCTAGAGAAATAAAGAATAAGCAAGGGAGGAAGAGAGATGGTTTCTGTGGAAAAAGGTTTGGAAAAGATATTGTCTCGCCATGCAAGGGCAATTTGAGGATGCCAAAAAAAGTATGAGGTGTCAAGCGATAAACCGATGTCAACCGATAATAGCAGCTATTACTTCGACGGAGTTGGTTGTCGGTAGTATGAAACTCATCTTTCTAAGATATTTGAAGCAACAAGAATTTTCATGATTTACATTAGTAGTTTTTAATTGGAAATTATTATTTTAGTAATTTTTTAGACAAAACCACGAAAAATATTCAAAAGCATTCATTTATATGCCAAAAAAGGCAATACATGCAAAATATGCATTATATGCAGAGCAAATTCCTCTTTATTTTCAATATTTTGCCATGAAAGATACATATTTGATATTTCAGGACGATATGACCATTAACAAGAAACGAACAATTGCATGAACTTCCCAGCTCTAGTCTTCATCGGATCTGACACGTGGAAGTGAAATTTCGACATCCTTCCAGTAAGCACATATGAGCGCATTTGCGCATCATGCGACTTGCGCCAGAAACATGTTCACAAAGCAAGCTATTTCTCCAACTTCCGTGTTTCTAAACCTTGAAAATGTCACTTTCTAAATTATTAGTGGTTTTGCAATATTTTCAACATTTTATATCTTTGCAATCTATACAATTTCTCGAGCTTCAGAGCATAACGAAGCGACAGGAAGGGTAACTGACATGTGGAATAATCAGGTGACAAAACTCATAAACAACAATTATACCCATTATCAGTTGAAAAGAGGACGTAGTAAACCATAATATTATACTGTTGCAGGCTACCGTATGCTTGTAAGGCGCCAGAGAAAGAAGTAACGACGCTCGATCGACGAATAACATAAGGCAACAAATCAGGCATTTCTTCTCTGATGCTATCAATTTCGGCGAACGTTATGTCTCTGTTTCGCTTTTTAATACACAGAATAAACCTAAAGTAAAATGTCTAATGGCATATGCTGAGATTGCTATCCAATGCCTTACTGGGTTCTCACCAGACGAGAATATTCTGATAAACACGCAATCGACACGATTATCATATTGGCGTAGGATTCATTAAGTACTGAAGAAATTGTCATGGTTATGTGTCTGGGCGAAAATAAACGTTCTCCTTAGGGATTCTATTCGTTATTCATGCGTTCCTCTGTTTTTTGCTGCGTCTCAAAGCGCTGGATCAGGGAAACTGAATATAAAATTAGTACCGTGCTAGCTATCCTTGCCAACGCATAAAACCAATTTTCAATGTGCCCAATTCGCGTATTACTTAGTTTCTCTATACAATTGCTACGAAACTACAGGCGGCTCCAGATTTTCAAACAATGCGATCTTCTCGCGTCTTATGTGAAAAAAATCGGATTCTGGGAAATTACTACAATGTGCAAAGCTTCTTCGTCGGCAGGTCACGAGGTGGTGCGATCTACAGGTGACCTTTGGAAGCAGTTTAAAGTTTGTCTCAAAGAGTTTCGAATTCGTGCTTCTTGTAAGAGAAACCGCGGGTTATTAGGACAAATTAATACTATCTCGAGGACACGAAGTTTAGAATGTATTATCTTTTCTTAAATAGCACAAAGAATTGTCAAAATGAATGAATGAGCTCCAAGCATGGCGCCAAACTTGAATTAATTTGGCCGCCTATGTGCCAACAGTATAAGTTTATGAAATTGTTGAAACGTCAAAACTTGTTTATAAGAAGTGATCTTTTCCGGTATTTATGAGTTTTGAGAGAGCAAGTTGTATTAAGAGAGTATATATAAGAGAGAGCGAGAGAGAGAGAGAGCGAGAGCGAGAGCGAGAGCGAGAGAATGACTCAAAAGCGTATCAAAAACGCAAGTTTAATAAGCTGTTGGTAATTCTATGATTGTTCAAGACGCAGTATTTTGAGACACTTAAGAGCACCTGCTTTCACTTCATACGAGTGCATTTGTGTCTCTTCTGTCCGTTTTAATATTCCATTTTTTTATCCGTAAGTTAACAACAATGAAAGACCAACACACAACTCCAGTTTTGAACATTCTTTCCCTATTCATGAAAAACATCTCTTACAAAACAGACTCCCGGAACTAACACCAGCCACAGCAAACTCATAAGCGCGTTCACATAGTTCTCAACCGGTTTTCTCGCAGGATAATTGTCCCCATAAAATTCACTTTCCATTGAAAACTAGTCTAAGAACAAATCAAATTATATTATATATAATTATACATCTACTCGGAACAGTTTTGAATCGAAATTCTGACATCCACAACCAAAGAATAAAGTAGTTTGTACGTTCTCGTTTTTTAAATGTTTTGAATG